AGAAATGATCCCCAAAATCCCTGATGTCACCTTAAGAGCATTGGGGTTTTTTTTGTTGTTTTGTTTAAAGTTTCCAAGCTCAGTTCAAGAGGACTAGAGCCAGGAAGCTTCATGTTCAAAACCAGTGGCTCAGCCATTGTCTTGACTTCAAAGGATATATCAGGGGATGTTTACTGTCTTCCCTCTGAACTTTCCTTTTGCTTGCCATGTTCTTAAACTCAAGCATCCTTTTAAGGCAGAACTAGAACTACATGCACTACTATAAATCAAAGGATTATTCATAAAGACTGTGATTCATAAATATTAGAAAACTATAAATATAGAAGAAAATATCAGGAAATAGAAATATTTTCATGGTGTGACATTTTCAGTATTTTAACTTGGTGAAAACAGAAATGTAGAGTCAGTTGCCTTAAAACCACACTGTTTTATTCTGCTGTTCTCTAGTTAGCATCACATGGACTCTTAGCTGTGCAAAGCACAGTTCCTTAAAAGGATGCTTTGATGACTAAAGTCATAGAGCTCCCCTTTCATTACTTCTAAAGAAAAATGTTGATTCATGCTAGGAAAGGGACTGAGTCCCACAGGACACGGGCTGCTGGGAAGCTGTACTGTATCACCTGCCCTGATCTTTGGGCTCTCACCTTATTCCTTCCTGATCAGTTGTCCCAGCATCAAGTAAAACTTTCCTCCTTCCTCGAAAGTTTGCCTGAGAAAGAGTAAGACCAAGATTTCATTATTGCCAAGGAAACCCCACCAGGTCCTGCTGTCCCCTCTCCCCTTTGCCCCTGCAGTACTGTGTCCCCCACAGTGAGACCGTTCAGCTCATTGAACCAGCACAAAGCTACCTTAAGAAGAAAAACTAAAAATTAATTGTTTCCTGACAGTTTGGCATTCCCCACAAGGACAAAGCTGAAAGCAGCCAGGAAATCACCAAATCCTTTGCAAAGAAAGTAAGCCAATGGGCAAGGTTTGTCTGGCAACTTTGCCAGACAAGTTCCCTGCTGCTGTTCACAACATGGATGTACCCTGCCAGCCTGCCCAAGCTTACTCCTGCCCTAGCAAATCCCAATGGAGACACTGAGCTGCTGCATCCTGGAGCACTGGAGAAAGTCACCTTCACCAATCTTCTGAAATAGTGTGCCAGAGAAGAGCTGGGGGACCAAGGTGTGTAGCCCCACACTATGCTGGGGAGAAGAGAATGATGTTCTCCCAGCTCAGTATGGATGTCTGTGATGAGCAGATGCATTGTGATCGTTAGTCCTCTGGCTCCTGCACATTTGTTTGTGCTGTTTTGCCCAGCTCCATCCAAAACTGGTTTAAGGTGCTCTGCTGCCTTGCCCAGACAGGGAATCGGTTCCTGTGCCAGGGTCCTGCAAGCAGGGGACACTCAGAGCCTCTGTTTGGCTGGGGGAGCAATGAAGAAACATTTATTCTGAAATACTGGAGACATGTGGGAGGATGAGAGGAAACCTCTCCAATGCTAGTCATCTGAAGTCAGAAATCAAGGCTGAAGAGCTTGAAACTGTGGCAGTTTACAATCTGATCCAACAAACCACCCAAGCATGCCCACACCAGAGAGACTGTGTCTGCACATAAACAATACCTCAAACATCAACGTCTGCTCCTGGGATAGATCTTGCCAGTTGCATTCACTTCACACATGGGAAGGCTCCAGCATCATTGTGAAAGCAGAGGAAGATGGAGGTGGGCAGTCACACAGGCTGAGGTACTGCAAAAGCCATCAGGGACGTGAAGCCTGGGAGAATCTGCTCTCCATTTCACCCTTTTGCTGGAGAATTACTCTCCCACAACACCGCTTTACTCCTCAGGGGGAGACACAGCTCAGGACTTAGTCAGAAATGGTGAAAAAGCTATCAAAGTGGCCAAAGTAGAAAAGCAGGGTACATATGGAGAGGAGCCTAGACTCCAGCCAAACTGCCAACCTCTGCAGGTGTCCACAACGCACCAGCACTGATGGTCAAGCACTAGAACAAATAACAAGATTACCGAAAACACAGGAGTACAAACAGCTGCTACCATTACTACTGAAAACACCCACTGTTACTGCTTCCCTTGTCACTACAGGCAAAGAAGGAACGGAACCAAAAATTTCTCTTTGATGTCAGAACCAGAAAGTCCCTACTGAAAGTGCTTACGTTGGGGAACCATGGTCTGACCTCCACCTCTTCCAAAGGGTCAGCCAAGCACCTCCCAGTCTGCTCCTGCAGCAGTGCCGGTGAAGCAGTCAGGGCACAGACAGAGGCAGGGCACCATGAACAGAGCGTGGTGGAGGTTGGGCATGCAGGCAGGATACAGATAAGCCAAGACCCAACAAGAGCAGATGCACCTCTAACCCAAGCATGGAATTAATGGTTTAATGGTTGGACTGGATGATCTTAAAGGTCTTTTCCAACCTGAACAATTCTGTAAGTAGCAAGTAGGAGGGGAAGGCATCAGGGCAGTTGCACCAAGGATGGACCACAGGGAACAGGCAGGCAGGAGACTGGGAGCAAATTGCAATGCACTAAGAGCAGAATCTGTTATGTTCAGGCACTGACAAGTTAGTGCCTGGACTTAGCTGCTTTCTCAGCAAGCAATGGATATCAGCATCTCCCAGAGTCATTCCAGTTTTGTTCGATATCTCTCTTGAGACATAGGCTCCTCCAATGACTGTAGAAGTCAGGACAACTGGCTTGGAGAAGACACCTCGTGCTACATCCCCATTTAGGCTGCTAATCCCAGGCAAAGGGCCTCTCCAAACGAGCATGTGCCTCCTTGCAGCCTCCCCCCATCCAGTTTCTCCCACTTGGCAGAGGCTGTGCTGGCTGAGCTTTCTCTGCACACAGAGGTGGCTGCCAGCATCACTTTCATCTCAAAGCTGTGAGGCAGGAGGCACTCGGCCATTAGAGCAGGCGGGAAGGCAGTGCTCACCTGGCTGCTGCAGAGCCAGTTCTGAGGAACTTTGAGCTTCTGCTCTCCTACAAGAGCTCCTGCATCAAAGTTTCCTTTCCGCCTCCTCCATCACCAGCCCTGCAGGGGCCAGGCAGAGCCTCTCTTCCCATCCCTGCATCTCTAAATTTGCCTGGTTGCTGAGCACGTCTATTCTAGGCAGCTAAAGGCAGGCAAGATGAGGGAAGCGAAGCGCACGCATCAGTTGCATCGTGAACAACATCAGTGCCAAGTTCTTCTCCGCTATAGCCAGTTCAGACAGAGAATGTGTCTGATGTGGTACTCCAAGCCAAGTAATGCAATTTGTGAAAGAAATTGGAAAAAAGTTCTTTCCATACAAAACTTCCCGGCAATTCTCAATTATCTGGGAACACAGGGAGATGCAGAAATAGCCATTACAAAACAGAAAAAACTACTTAATACAAAACGTGGGTCAACAAAGTGATCAAATGATAAGAGCAAGGTCAGTGCAGAAAAGAAATACCATTTTGGGATGCCAAGAACCCCAAGCTGGCCTAAGCTGAGAATTGACATGGTACAGCAAAGCAAACTACTCATTCTGGTCCCAAATTAAGTCCTGCTAGCCCTGAGCAGGTCTGTGAGAGCCTGCAAATGTTTTCCAGCTTCAGGCAGCAGCATCTGTGATACAGCTAATCCTCTGTTGCCCTGGGAGGATTGAGGGCTGAACAGCAGGGCTTTTCTCCACAGTGGGGAAGGGAGAGAGGATGCTGTGCACATGCTATCCACTCCCCCAGCAAAGCAAAGAGTGAAGGCACCAGGGATGGGAACAAATTAATCAGTTTTCATACACATAAAATCACGGCCATCATCTGGACTGGGTTTCCAAAGCAGGTAATGAGGGCAGTAACCTGTAAGGGTGTATCAAGTCAGGAAAGCTGGTTATGTCCATCACATCTTATCTCCTACATATTGAAAAATAAAAACAGTCCCTCCCTCCTGAGAGACTTAATCCGCTAGACAGGATTAAAGTCTATCAGTCAATGGGCTACCCTGGAGAGAACAATCCAGCGTTTGCTGGGTGATAGCTGAGATCATATCAGCAAACAATCCTAGTGCTTGGAGAGGAATTAGAGGGGAGCACAGGCAGCCTGAAGGTAGGAAAGCCTTTACTGCTTTTAGCTTCCCTACTAATGCATGGTGGCATTTCAGGCAAACCAGCTCCCATTTTCATACCTTGTTAATCTCAATGGTACAACCGGAGTGAAGCCAAGCCCAGCTCTGGTTCTGACTTCTCTCAGCTCCCGTTGATTGTAATTACAGGCAAATGCCTTTGATTGTCTTTGCAGCTCAGGTCTTGGGCATCTCAAACGTGGCACCCAGGATTAGAAGACACTTTGGAAAACACTGGCTGCATCCAGACTAACCTGTGTCAGAGACAAGGCATTTCTCCCAAGTCATTTGGCAGCACCTCACACTCTCTGGCAGTTGCTCAACCTTTGTGCTTGTCATTTTTTTTTACTGTCACCTTGTGGTGGCCATGAACTCCTGCACCTGTACCCTTGTTCTTGTCAGCTTTCAGGACTGTACCAGCCTCACCCAACACAACTAAGAACAAATAGTTTTCTGCTGAGAAGGAGACATGATGCTTCTCTGCAGCACCCTCTTGGAGAATATCTGTAGCACAAAAGAATATACAAAAGGAGTACTGGCCTAACTCTACGGCTACGCAGGTCAGCTGCACCCCAAACCCTGCTCTCCTAACAGACACAGCTTTCCTCTGTAAGGAGTGCCCTCTGCTGAAATAACAAGAGTCCTACAACAGGCAAAGCATTTTTTTCCAGTTTCCTTCATGCAATGAGCACATTGCCTCAGAGATCTGGAACACAACCCGGGACAGATCACAACCCAAACAACAGGCAAGTGAATACGGTCCATTTAATACAGTCAAACACAGAGGGACCACAGGTGGGCAGGAATGAAACAACAGGCAGGAGAACGAGTTGACAGATCTAAGACTGCAGAACCATAGGTGCCACATCTCTCCAACACACAGAGCCACCTCTTTCTCCATGCTGGGCAAAGTTCTGAGGTGTCATCACTGGTGGCCAGAAGAAGGCTGGAGAGAGGTATCTGGAGCTGGAGGAGCTGCCCTCAGCATGGTCAGCGCTCTCAAACAGGAGCACACTGCTCACCTGTAAGGAAAGGAGCAGCCACCTCAATTGCTCCATGCTAGAGAGAGGAACCCCAGCACAGAGAAGAGTTTCAGGGCCAAGTCCCAGACCGAGGAATGTCACAGCTGCCTCAGTGCAACTCACCAGTCCAGCCTCTCCTGCCCAAAAAGCTACGGAGCCCCACCAGCAAAGATGAGCTCCAGGGCAGCCTGAATGTCCCCTCCAGTGGCTTGCAGGGCCCGGAGACTTAACTCATCATCATGTATGCCCATGTCTCGCAGCTGCTGAAGCTGTGGCTGCCACTGGCTCTACAGACAGGAAACAAAAGAAGCTAAGGATAGGTGCGAGAGTCCAAGCAGACACAAAACAGCCTTCTCCACAACTTCCACGCTGGATTCTCCCCCTCTCTCTAGTTCACAAGTACAATGCTCAGTGTGCAAACAGATCTTCAAAGCTCAACATCTTGCTGCAAACTCCCCAAATCCACCAGCCCGCCCCTTCCGCTTCCACCCAGTACTTTTGCATCAGCCTATCATGACTCCTGCAAGCACTGCTTCTCCAGTGATGCCCCTTTCAGCTTAACATCCTGCCACAGGAGGCGGCTGGAAGAACCGCCTCCACCCTGTAACACTCAATGTGATATGGGGCTTTCACAGGCTCCCGAAGGAAGAGGCTGCAAACCTGACCTGCAGGCTGGGCTGCCCTGAGGCCTGCAGGGCATGCTGTAAGGCCTGGCTGAAGAGGTCATTGGTGATGGGTGTTCCTGACTGGACACTGGATGACATCGGGGAGGTCCCAGACGAGTGACCCTAGGAGGAAATAAGTTGTATATGAATCAGGAGAACACTTGTCACAGGAACCAGAGCCAGGACTGGGCAATGCCTGCTGCACCCCCACTACCATGCCTCCCCAAGCCCATATGGAGGAGACCCCAGCCACAAGAAAACAAAACAGTGAGGGCTTCCAGACCTGAGCAGGGCTTGGACTTGGTCAAGCACTAGTTTTATGGCCCAGGAGGATCTCCCTAGCTACTGTGCTGCCATTGTACCTGGGTGCCAGGGGTGGGCGTGTGGGAGCTGCTCTCTGGGGTGCTCGCCAGTGCCAGCGCGGTCGCCAGCTCGCTCTGTGTGATCGGCCGAGGTCCTGCAGCCCCAGCGTAGCCAAGGGAAGCTGGGCGGGAACCAGAAGTGCTGCTGGATGGTGTAGATCTTGTGCTCTGCATGGGGGAGGGGCAGGGAAAAAAAAACAGGCCACCTCTGATGTTGGTGTCCATGTCCCAGTAAAATCATGTGCTCATCCCTGGGGATCCCTTTCCTACAGCACTTGAAACTCAAGTGCAGAACTTTAAAAAAAAAAAAACAGCACTGATTCAGATGTGCTTTTTTCCACAAACTCAGCTTTTACAAAGCTGCAGAAACTGGCACTAAACCTTGTCATGTATTATCCATCAGCTTAAAAGCAAAGTCCTATTAGCCTATAACAAAACAATTCACCATTGACAGGCACTTTTTTTGCCTAAACCTGTAATTTCCCTTTACAAAATACTTTGTCTTTTGGAGAGGAAAACCTCTCTACATTACAGAAGAAGGGCAGGGACCAACACCCCCATGCTCCTCAGCCATGCTCATCTGTGCACAACTCTAGCTCTGCGTCAATTTGACCATGAAGGTGTTTACTCAGAGGACAAGTGCTGTTGCGAGTCGTGCTTCTGCATTCTTCTGTTGTGACCCTGCTTCAGCACTCAAGAAAATCCTAACATGAACAGCATCCAAGCACGCCACAATCAATGTGTTTGTCTCCACAATACGCCCAGGAGCCAGAGGGGCTCATGCTGTTCATGAGACAGGAAGAGAGAAAACTTTTGGAGTCTTTAAGGGCTACTAGTTAAACCCATGTTGCAAGTCCAAAACAGCCACTCCATCCAGCCTGGCTGCTTACCTGGTGGAAGTCATCTTCATCATCAGAGAGACCTTCAAACAGAAAGCCACCTGCAACAGAAAGGAGAATCAACAGTTGCAGAAAACTGGGTGCTGGCAGGAGTTAGGCACCAGACAAGAATCCTGTGGAGTCCTTGGCCACGCAGCCAAGCTCAGGCCCAGCTAACATACCGGGTTAGGACAGAGCCCTCCGCACCAACAAATTCACGTGCAGCAGGTCAGTGGAACACAGGCCAGGCCCATCATTTGCACAAAACAGAGGCCACAGCACTCTGCTACCAACAGTCATTATACACACTTGGTTGGGAGAGGCCCCGAGGCTGAAGTGGACCGGATGGGTGTCTCACAGCACAAAAATCTATCAAACCACAGTGCACGTTCCTAGCTCAGGAACCCAAACCTCTCTTCCTTCCAGCTTGGGGATGACTCTGTCAGTACAGCACAGATTTGTCTGCGAATCCTGCAGCACTTCATCTCTGCAGGTTCCTCGCTCATCTGTGTGGCTGAACGTACCAGGCATGTCCCGGTAGGAGCCAGAGGACATGCCTCGGGAGGATGTCTCTGGGGCTGGGAGCGGGGTGCTGCCAGCCACTGAGTGCAGAACAAGGACAATGGCATTCACAAGCGCAGGGTGGGCTGGGATTAGCCTGGAGAGAAAGAGTGGAAGAATGAATCACGTACACAGGGAAACTAAGAAATCAGCAGCTCAATACCAGCAAAGAACTTCTGTCAGAAATGGCAGAGCCATCCCCACTGGCTGTGCCAACACCACCTCAGATACTGCCTTTGGCTGTCCAGCCACAGACACCTCCCTACCTTGCTCCACACAGCCAAAGAAGCTGAGTCTTCTTCTTGATGCCAGTTGACCCTCCCATTGTATACATCTCCCATATGGTCTCATGGGAACAACTCTCTGCTGTGAGCAACCAGATCCAGATTTGAACCCATGATCTGGAGGCGATGATGGCCCTGTCTCCCACTAAACATCCTTTGGTTTAATCCAACAGGGGAGGCAGGTGGCCATCAAAGCATAAGCTCCATCCTTTCTGCTGCTGAGGACGAACAGTTCTATCCTGAATCTCTGGCCGGGTATATCTGTACTGGCAGGCAGTAGCAGAACTCTCTCTCCCACCCAGAGACAAGCAGTCAATACAACAGTGCAACAAAGGCATTGCTTAGTCACTGCACCAGCTCACATGAACTTACGTGTCCAGCATGTTGGGGTCTGCAAACACTGAAAAGAGATCCTTGTCCTGTAGGACTCCTGGGAGGGACCAGGAAACACAACAAATAAAAGACAGGATACAAGAAACAGGATCCAGTCAAACAAGAGCCATGGGAAAAAAACCAAAAGAATTAATTGTTTTCCAGGAACTGAGTCACTAGCAGACAGCATAAATACTCTTATTATTGTTCTCTCTGAAGCCTTTTATGTCTTCCTGGAGAGACCCTTGATCACAGCTACACACCCAAGGGATGGGGCTTTCCCAGCAGATCCCACGAGCTGTGCTCCAGCACAGACAGCTCCACCTTAAGGGCAGGATCAAATCTGGCACCCAGCTCACCCCAGCCAGCTGCTTGCTGTGAGAGGTTGTGACTGCATCCCATATCCACCTGCCTTACAGCAATGTGCCATAAAAGCTAGTAACATCCCAGGCCAGTACAAGCACGCCAAATTTAGTGAACATTTTTATAACATTTTGCAGCAGGGAAAACACATCCATCCCCACTGCACTCCTGCTCCATGTTCCCTAATCCTTTGGAAGCCAGCATCCATCCCCAAACATTACCAGCAGAGCACAACTCTGACACCTGAGCAAGCATTTACTCTTACGCTCCACAAAAGAACCAAAAAAGACACTTTCTCCAGGGAAGAGGAACTCTCCCTTCCCCATGCCAGGAGTTAAACACTGACTATCTTTATTTGGTTTTCCTCAGATCCTCTGGATCACATCTGCACTCACCCAATGCAACAGGGTCGCTGCTGAGGCCGGGAGTAGCTACAATGATCTGATCCAGTGACTCCTTGTTCCCCAGCATTTTGAAGACCTATGAGAGAAATCAGAGCAGATCAGCAGCATCGCACAATGAGGCTCCGCTCAAGGACTCTCTTCACAGAGAGGGGACAGACACAAGACACCCAGACGGCAAAGTATGAAGCTCCACTCACTGCATCTCTGTAGGCAGGACTGCTGTGCAGGGCAGTGTGAAGGACCCGGAACTCCCGTACTGCTGCCACCTTATCCACAGGCTCTGAGGGAGGAAAAATAACAGAACAAAACACAATTCTCCGTCTGTCAGCTTTACTAGCCGTTTTAACATGCCACTGACTTCCACACTGCAATAGTGGTGGTGATTCTTTCATTCCCCTGGATTTGACTGACCAAGAGAGAAAGGGTACAGACTAATGATTGCGAACATCTCAGTAAGTTTACCACAGCATAACAGGGAACTGCACTCTCAGCTTCCAGACATATAAAAATATATAGATATATCCTCCTCCATGTACAAAACGAGCTGTATTAAAGTTAAAATGCTAAACTAACCCATCTTATTCTACAATCAGGCAGATTAGGAACACACACAAGCCTGCTCATCCCTTGAGCTGAGTAACCAGTCACTTTGCTCCCGATTCTCTGGCAACACCCTAAAATTGATCATAGTCAATTAAGGAAGGAGTAGTCACTTTCCACATTACGTAGCTCACTCCTTAACTCTCCCATCAGCAAGAAAACATAACACCCATTTGCTGCTGTTAGAGGTGGAGAGCTCCCACACAAACATATCCATCAATTCCTCCTGCAAACCCATCAGCCTCCCAGAAACAAATCACAAGAGAAGCTGTTCCTCAGTCACAGAGGACCCACACCAAACACATCCCAAGGAGATCTAAGCAGTAACCCATGCTGTCTCCTCCTCACCTGGTTTCTGATCCGGCTCAGGCCAGGACTTGCGCAGGACATGAACAGTGGAGCCAGACTGGATGCCATAAAAATCAAGTGTCTGGTCATCCCTCAGCTTACGGCCACAGTAGATCAGATCTAGGAGAGAGAAACATCAAAGATAAACATCTGTGGCACACTCAGAAAGGGCCTGGGGTCTTTAAGTGCAGACTGCCCGGGGGTTATTGCTCCACACGTGTAGCTGCTTCATCTGGTCAGCAGCAGAGGGACTCCATAACACAGGGAAGTTATGGAGCTGAGATTCAGGGAGGAAATCAGGGAGCTGAGATTCACAGAATGTGACTTTGCCACCTCCTTTAGAAGGGCCAACCTCTCTCACTGGTTTTCATAAGAGATCTCACAAGGAACCATTGGTGTTAGCAAGTCAGAAGATTTCTTAACAAGGGCACCAACACTGCAGGAGCACCGTGATCCCAGGTAAACACAGAACAAACTACCAAAATCACAAGGTACTAAGACTGCTGCAGCATAGCAAAGCCTCTGGCACAAGCTTTGACCCCCCCACACCGTGCTATCTGGTCGTGCCAAGTCTCCCCAACCAGCCCAAAATCACTGGTATGATGTTTGTGTCCCAGCCGCAGGGAGGAGAGGAAGAGGGTGGCCCCAAGTGGCAGGACTTTGACACGACCCACACAGGCACCTACCGATGAGCTCAGGGTCTGGAACAGACTCCTGCAGTTTGCCGGTAATGAGCTGTTTGAGGTATGAGATGCTGCACCCACCGAGTGGGCATTCCCCCAGCTCTGTCTCTGGCAAACGTAAGATGGATTTAGGAGCCAGCGGCTGATCTGCCAGCTTCACTGCGATGTGCCACTCCGACAGGGACATTTCAGCCTTCTCACTGAACAGAGCCAAGCCAACCTAAGACCCACTAAGCTCTTGAAAGGGAGGAAAACAAAACAAAGTGAGACTCTCCCCCAAGCAGACAATAAAACCTTGTAAATTCACGGGACGAACCTTCACTGGGAGGCACACAGGAAACTAACAGGAAGCCTGACCAACACACAGCCATGCTTTTAGGTTCCTACCTCAGTCTTGAGCCATATCTGAACCTACAGGGAAGGCAGAAACACCCCTGCCAGCCTCAACACTCAGCC